GCCCGCTTGTAGCCCTTGAAATCATACTACCTCATAAGGGCCTTCTTCATTAGCTACTATATTCTGTTTCTTCATGTTTTCCCCATAGGCCCTGCACTCCAAGTCCTCCCTCCTCTTCCGTGCTTCATTACCTTAATGTTCTTTTTAACCTAGAGTCTTCAACAGTAAGAAGAGGAATGAGATCAGAGCTAAGCTGAATGATCTCTCTTTTTGTCTCACAACCTGGGACTGAATTTAGGTTGCAACTGCTTTTAAGTTGCTGCACTCACAATTCCTTACGACATGCTTTTCAGATACTGCTGTCAAAACAGATACAGTACTATCCACTCAATATATACACATCTCACCTTTTCCTACCTAAATTCATAACTTTACAATTATCTCACTGAAAACCATGTTTAACTTGGTGTCATTTGCTGATTTGATAAACAACCAGCAGAAAACTTATCATAACAAGAAAAAGGGTGCGAGCAGCACCTGTCTGCCTAAAGCTGGAGCTGAACATGCTTTTCTCCAGCAGCCGTTGTATGTCCAGGGCTGGGCCATGTCACGCCTTGGGAACGTAAGCACTTGGGGATCAGCCTGCGTTCGCGATGCCCTCTCCCAGAACCACGGCAGGCCTCCTTCTGTGCGGCCAGAAGCCGGACTCCTTCCCGGAATGAGGACCTCCGGCTCCTCGGGCTCTGATCCCCTCGCTCCCTTGTGCCAGTCCTCACGCAGGGATCCCCTGCTGCCATTTCAACAGTTGGAGGGCTGATTCTGTAACTGCTTCTGGTCCAGAAATCTATGCAAGCTGAAAGCACATGATTTCCTTAAAACCTGCAGATTTGACCAGTCCAGCTGGGATGGAGAGTGATCCAGAAACTGAGATATAGACTGCTGGCAAATGTAAATTCTTGAAGCTTTCATTTCTGCTGTAGCAGAGGATGAAGGGAAAGGAACCTTCTGATGTTGAAGAAGAGCCATAGCGTGACCCAATGCTAAGTTCGACAGCAATTTCCCTTTGATGAACTGATTATTCCTAATTGGTTCATCCAGCTTTCTCATGTGAAACTCGTTGGTTGCTGTCACAAGTCATCAACTTCATTTTTTATCATGGCTCTTCCCAGTTCACTATTTTTATTTTATTTTATTTGGCCGAGCAATATACACTACTCACATCCACACAGTCATCACCATAAACAACCTTCATTCAGCAGTGAATTTCAATTGAAGAGACTCCTTCAGTAGTCAAAAATGTCATGTGCACTGCTGAGTACTCACCGCAGACTTCCATTTCACAAATAATAGCAACACAATCTTTCCTCACAGCAACTTCCCACCAAGTGGAAGTGAAAGAACAAATGCTGAAGAACTTGTCAGAGCTTCCGAGAAGTCAGTACTGCCATCTGTTGGTGAATTATAACTGTAGAGGCATTACTTTTCATTCAACCCTTATCTTTTTATATACACTCTAAATAACCAAACACGCAGTAAAGCGTGTTCCTCGCACTCATACTTTTCTTCAGTGACCTGCCGAAGGGCAAAAATACACCCCCCGCCTGGCATAAAGCTGCACTGTATTTCCCAAATTTTGTTCGAGGTGACGTACCTTTTCAGTCTTCCCAGGCGTGGACTAATTTCACCTCCTCTCTTTAGACAGCGAAACAACCACAGCATTCCTCCGGTCATCAAGCACAGAAGCAGTCATCATACTAGCTAAACAATTCACAAGCCACTCCACAAGCAAACCACACCCATTTTTTAACATTTCTCCAGTTACATCACCTACACCATCTTACCATTTTTCAACATTCAACAAGCACATATGACTTCCTTTTCATTTATAACATTACAGGCACTAGCCTTTATAGCATCCATTTCAATTCCACCCATAAAACCTCTAAAATACTCCTTCTAGCATTCCCTCATTTCAGTTTCATCCCCCAAATTTCATCACTTTTATCCTTAATTCCACTCAGTCTGCTGGAGACTGCTTGTTTAGACCTCTTCACCCACTGCCAAAACAGGTTTTTTAAATTTCTATCACAATTGTATTTTCTTTGCCACCTTTAATCTTTCAACATAAACCATCTTAGATTTATATTCATTCCTTTACCATATGTACATATGAAAAGACATGCTTAAATCATGAATTTCAAACTAAAATATCTTTTCCAAGCAGATACTCTCCAAGAGCCCTCATTCTCATTCAGTCTTGGAACTCCAAATGTCCCAATCACTTTTCCTGTATTCTTTCATTTCACCTACCAAAATATTTTCCCAAGAATCCCATTCACTAGAACACAGTAATAGTAGTAGTTTTGATAGCATTCATTTTATTTTTCGTGCACCTCTAACTAAGGTCTCACTCACTAAGGGATTCCTGCTTTCTTCCACACGCACAACCACTTCAATGACACCAATTCATATTTTATGACATGGATGTGTAGCCCTTTTGTTCATAAATGCACCTCTACCTTCATGAAGTTGGAAGGGATTTTAGAGGTTATCTTAGTTCATCTCTCTGCAATATCCATTATAGTATCTCTGAGAGATGGTTACCTAGCATCTGTTTGAAAAGGAGATGGAGAAGGAGAACTCACCATTTCATGTGGCAGCCTGTTCCACTGGCTTACAGCCCCATTGCAGAGCCAGAGTGTTCAGAGCTGAACAAAGTTCACAGTTCATCCAATCAAAATTCCACTCCCGAGCCAGCAGAAATAAATGCACTGCTACTACTGTTCAGTAATTAGGAGTGAGAGATGCGGTCTGGCACATAAGCAGTATATATGTTGCTTTGGGGCAGTTAGCCAATGAGAGCCTCGGCTTCTTCTCTGCTGTTCAGCAAGTAAGGTTAAAGGTCATTGTCATGTCTCCCAACTTTGTCAGTCCTTTGAGGTAGACCAGACTAGGAAACCAAAGTTATGAATGCTATTATTACTTTTATTATAAGGGTTAGGGTTAGAATCTTGCAAGTCTGAATGCGCTTCCCCCTCCCTCCCTTTATCTTCAAGAGAACTAGGGAGGGTCAGGTCTAACATGCTTTCTCAAATTACATTTCTGCCTCGGACTCAAATTTCTTTTATCTGACCGCTGTCTCGGTTGCCTTGGCTCTTCCTCCTGTTCCTCAAGGTTACTCTTACAGACCATTACATCTTTAGCTTGAAGTTGCCTCACCAAAAATTCTTTAAGAACACACCAATATGATGCAGATATCTTCTCATCCTCAGCCATCAGATTTCTGCCATTTTTCTTCTTATGGGAATTGCTTCCAACTGTGCTTGAGCATCTCATTTCCCATGCTTCTTGGACACTTTGCTCCTTTAAGATTTCAAGCCATAGGATCCAACCTACTTTCCTCAGAGTTCAACAAATATGCTCCTCTGAAGTGCAGCATGCAGGTCTGATTCTTCTTAGTTTCTTCTCCCCTGGATATCATGAATTCAAGGATAAAATGACCACTTTCCTCCAAAGGACTAGTCACCATGACTTCTTCAACCAATTCATCCCTGTTAGTAAGGATTAGGTCCAGGATAGATGTTCTTTCTTCCACCTTCTGATGAATGAATTTATCAGCAAGAGAGCAATAATTCATTGGGCCTCTGGTTCTTGGCAGAATTAGATTCCAGCAGATGTCAGAGTAAATTAAATCCCCCATTAGCACTATCTCACAACCTCTCCGAAAGACTGTGTATTTATCAATGCCACTCCACAAGATCAGGCCTCCTTAATTTACATTCTTCCTCTTCCTATTTTTATTTATTTCATTTGTTAATTCATGCTCTTTACCATTAATTCCTCTGATACATTCTATGTCATCATCTTCCTTATGACACGATCATCACCAGATGTGACCATAGATATTGACTTCTACCATCCATCATAGTTTTCATATATTGCTTTTTAGAAGATAAGAGACTGAATGGACTACGTTACCAGTCTTAGCTGCACCCATGACACATAAAGCATTCTCTGATACTGTTAAGGAGAGTGATAGCCTGTTTTGGTACATTTTGGCTAAGATACCATAAGCACAACCAAAGCCTAGTTTTACTCCAAGCAAGTTATTCTCTGCAAACCAGGATCTCTAATCTACCAAGTTCTTTGCAAGCCAACATTCTATTGCCCTCATCCCACCAGCTAGGACATATAATGCAGCATGTTGTCACACACTCAAGTCATGTTTAGACTATAAAATATATGCAAAGCACTTTCAATACTTTTTTGCTGTATCAGTAGTAGTAATAGTAATATTGCAGAATCTTAGCAGAGTGAATATAAAGTGGCCCAAAACATATACAAAGACAAAAGGACAATCAGCATCAGCCATGAAGAATGACAATGTCCAATACACAATGAAAAGCTGTACATTGCAACAAAATAACAAAAGCTTCAGTCCCGACATCCTGTCAGTCAAAAATGCAAGATTAACAGGATCAGCACCTGAGGAGTTTTCCTGAGGGCACCTCATCTGAAGTGCCGTTGGGCTCCTCTCCTCGGGGATGACCAAACTGCACGCCTCCGGGCAAAAGGCTGGTTGCCTTGGAATGCCATACTGGTAGAACCGCAAAGGAATTACACTCATGTGCACGCACCGCTCAGCCTGGGAAGGCATAGGTGGGTGACCAAAGGACAGGGGATGCCTGCCAACGTGAGGGCACGGAATGCTGGGACAAGGAGCAGCATCCTGACCTTTGCAGCCGGGAGGGGCCTGGAAGCCCGTGATGGCAACCAGTGCAGACAGGGCGCCCAGAGACAAGGACAGCTTTCACTCCCCCACCCCCATCATTTCTCATACTGTGAGCAGATCCTGGAGGAGACTGGCTGTGATTTGGCACTGTCTGTCTGGCCCAGCCGAGAAATGGGTGAAGGGGAAGGAAGGGAATTGCAAAAGGTCATCACAAAAGCTACGAAGTGGCGGTAGCACTGACAAACAGAGCCCAAATAGCCCTGGGGGCCTCTGTCTGCTTTGAACTACGGTCCCCAGACAAAGCAAAGAGAATAAAGGATCCACATACCTCCAAAGTCAGGCCGGAGACGGACATCGTACCCTTTCAGCAGTTTGTCCACAATGTCTTTAACCACCGATATATTCCCAGTGGCCGGGCTAGAAGACAGAAAGGCTAATGTGACCTGGTCACTATCACTGTCTCACACCCACACCCGCACACAGCACACAGCACACAGCACACCATTGTCCCCCAAGATCCTGGGTTGCGGTGAAAAGCCAACGCTGACCAAGATGCTGGTGACCTACTGGAGGAGCAACCGCTCTGGCCAGAGAAGCTCGGGGGGGAGGGGTGGGCAGAGGAGAACAGGTCAGGGCGCAGCTGTAGCCTGCTGGGCAACTCCCACCTTGACTTCTTCTCTCAAGCCATTTCTATTGCCTGCCACCTGTCTTGAGCCCAAACAGCTGCTATACCATCCCGCCCCGCCTCCCCCCCCCCCCCCCCT